CCTCTCCCGCAACGTTTCTGCAGCCTCTGCCGCAACGTGTCTGCAGCCTATGAGACCCTGCCGCAAAGTGTCTGCAGCCCCTGACCCTCTCCCGCAACATGTTTGCAGCCCCTGACCCTCTCCCGTAAGGTACAAAATAATAAAGTCACCGGCACTCCAAGTATTCAAGTCAATAAGTTTATTGACCCAAGTGAAAACCCCTCTAATACTTATTGACTTGAATACTTGGCGTGCCGGTGACTTTATTTTGTACGTTTTTGACGGAGGCATCTGATGTTGCTGCTGCACCCGCCCTGCTGCATGGGCATTTTCCGGTCAGGAGTGCGATGGGATACTTGGACTTTTGCTCTCCCGCAACGGGTCTGCAGTAGGGCTGCAACAACTAATCGACATAAATCAATTATAATCGATTATTGAAAAAGTTGTCAACTTTAATTTTTCACTTCCACCGCTCCAAGCTTGCTCCTATGATGGACTGCAATCTCAATACAAACTAGTAGTCCCATCACTGGAGCCATTTTTAAAAATGTATATTACTTTTTATCCGATTAATCGAACTTAATAATCGGCTAACTAATCAATTTTGAAAATAATCGTTAGCTGCAGCTCTAGTCTGCAGCCCCTGACCGTCTCCCGCAACGGGTCTGCAGCCCCTGACCGTCTCCCGTAAAGTGTCTGCAGCCCCTGACTGTCTCCCGTAAAGTGTCTGCAGCCTCGGACCTTCTCTTGTAACGTGTCTGCAGCCCCTGACCGTCTCCTGTAACGTGTCTGCAGCCCCTGACCGTCTCCTGTAACGTGTGTGTACTATCTGACAGGTTTCAAATTATTGCCTTTACTATTATGAACGGCCCTTTGGTAAAGTCAAGGGCAGCATTTGGGTCTCACTATATCAAGTGAACTGACTACCACTGATCTAGTTGTTCTAAGGAGAACACGTGACACCAGCGAATCCCCCCTCTTCACTAATGACTAGACTATCCACACATCCGAGATATTACAACACATAAGAGCAGACCTTATAATGTGACATTCATATCACTAACCTCCACATTGACTTTCCTTCTCCGACAACATGTATAACCTGCTAGCGGTATGTGACAGCAGCCACGTGATGCACCATTCTTTCTTTTTATTGGCTGGGACTCGTGAGGTCCTTTGCTTCTACAGGAAAGCTGAAGCTTTTCAGGAATTGCTTCCGGGGTCGGAGGACGACGGCAGCCGGGGGTGACATTAAACATGGCGGCTTCCTTGATGGCGTTGGGTCGTGTTTATGTTAGGGGTGTCGTAGTGTGTCAGGGCTGGGGTGGTGGCACACTGGGCTGTACGAGTGTCGCCCGCAGTGTGGGATGTGTGAGCACCCAGAGCTGGAGACATCACAGCGCGCTGTCCCAGTCCGGAGAGAAGGTCACCCACACCGGACAGGTCATGTTCCTTCTACGTTGTCACTTGTGTGTTAGTGAATGGTGCTGCGGATCCACAAACCTACTCGTATTGTCCTTTGCTGTGCATTAAAATCGTGACTGTAGATTGTAAATGGAAAATACACATTTCTGATCTTAGTCCCTGTTCACACTAGTGCGATTGATTGCTTGACTGCCGTTGCGCTACAATGCATGATGATGGAAATCGCTTTATTCTCAATGGTGTTTGTTTTGCTTTTAATAGTGCTGCACATTCGGGGGAATTCGTTATCATATTTGCACCAGAATTCTGAAGCTAATGCAGCCTAAGAAATTTTTTCACCAATTTCTGATACACGCTGAGCCATTTTCTGGACCTCTGCCAAATTCAAGTAGTTCTTATTTGGGCCATATTTCATTCTGGTGGTGTGCTGTGCTTGTGACATATCCAATAAATAAACTCTGACTTGCCTGGTCATAAGTAGGGGCGTCCCGAGTCCGGGTGTCACCTGGAGCGGAGACCGGGTGACACCCCGCTGTGACGTTGTCACGCCGTGACGTTATCACGCATGTGCGGTCATCTTAATGACGCCTGCCGGTGGCCATCTTGGTGGAGAGAGGAGGGGACCTTTACCCGGCGGGATGAGGTATGCCCCCGGGTCCCCTCCTCTCTCCTGACACTGTCGGACTCTCTGTCCATGACCGAGTGCCTGACTTTTCATTGGGGCTGACACCAAAATGACTGTCAGTCATTTTGGTGGCACCCTGGTGCAGGCCGCACCCCCCTTGTGACGCCACTGGTCATCAGAAAAGTGGTGCAAAGTAAGACCCAAATCCTTTTTTGGCATAACTAGTCTGTCCAACGTTTGTATTGTATATGTCTGTCGCAGTATGTGACACATTCCGTGAAATCTGTCTCGGACACATATGTGACACTTTGGACAGAGATGAGACACATCGATGTACTTTATGAGTGTGCATATATATATCGGCGAAATATTAGGGGTCTAAACAGAACCCTCCTGTATTGGCTGTCACAGGAGGCTGAGCTGGCGGTGCGGAGAGCTTAGTCTCATTTGACAGCTGACTGCTCCCCCTCACCACTGGCTTTGCTACCTGTGACAGCTGTCTCCACCCACAACGCTCTTCTAATCTGTTACAGGAGCTCAGCCCTGCTCAGTCTCCTGACAGTTTCTCTCCTCTAAAGCTGCGCTGTGTGAGGGGACACAGAGCAGCGCTCAGCGGGGAGGAGAGAAACTAAAGGTGCACTGCAATTTCACCCAAAAGTGCCATTTTCAGCTGATGTATTTCGGAAGCTGAAATATCGGTGCATCCCTACCTGTAACCCTAAGACACTTCTCTTATGTGTCTCAACCATACTTTTTTTTTTTAATTCCCCTGAATGTGGCTTTTCAATGGGACCGCATGAAAAATGCATGTACATTTTGTTCCATCATCTGTGAACCACGACTGTAACTTTCAGCACCGGAAGTTGGACATTATTGTACGGGGTTAATGCGAGTAAGATTTACAACTAATGTACCTCCATCCAGAATTGGACACCTTTCATAAGACATTTATTTTTATAATGCAGCTGTCAAAGTTTTTCCTGTTCAACTTTAATTACAAAAGGCCTTAAGCTGGCCATACACCTTACAATTATCTGCAGATTTTCTGTGGTCAGATGGAAAAGGTGCAACAGATTCCTCCATCTACACTTAACTGTGTGGATGGAGTCATCTCCACCTGGGCCAATCTGTTGCACTTTTTCCATCTGACCACAGAAAATCTGCAGATAATTGTAAGGTGTATGGGCACCTTTTGAGGTGCCCATACACTGCACGATTCTCGTACGAGAATCACGGGAAATCCAGCGATCGTACGAGAATCGTGGAGCTCAGGCGTGCGACCGTTTCTAATGTACGGTCGCACGACTTTTGTATTTCGAGCATGTTGGAAAACCAGCCGAGAATTGTACGATTTTCGGCTGGCTTTTAACATGATCAAGAGATGACTGCTGAACGGGCCGGTGTGCGCACGCGCACACTGCCCGTTCAGCATTGCAGTCATCGGCGGCCTTGCAATGATCGCAAGTACGATCTGCCTGTCCAAGATACGCAGAACGTAAGTTTTTTAAATTACTTTACAACCCTCGCAAGACAGAAGTCTTGTGAGGGTTGTAAAGTGTATGGGCACCTTTACACTTTTAGGTTTCAGCCCATTAAGCTATCCATGCTAATTAGCAGGTATGGGGGATTCTTCCCAGCCGACAATTATATTCCACAGTCAAAGGGACACGCAGCTGCTGAATATTCTTAGTGATTACATTGGCTGCAGTTACTGGTCAGCCACCAATTAAAACATTGACTTTTGTAGAGCTGTGTGGTGCTGGAAGGGCCACACTCAGCTCGAATTTCATCTTGGTCACCAGGAATCTGCCAAATTTTGAGAAGTGTATGGCCAGCTTAACATTTACAAGCTTTGTCTAACCCCCTTAGCACACCCTCCCTGTGCCCCCAGCCCCTATCCATGTATAAATGAATACAAAGCTGCAAAAAGTGTATCTTGAGGCAGAATTGTTCTATTTGAATTTGGTGTAGAGAAGGGTTACACCATCTGTTAAAGTTTTATTGCTGTCTGTGTCCCCATTGGGAAGAGTCAATGGGTACTGGTGACCATTTTCACAGAGAAAGAAAGTGATGGGAAATTCAACATTTTAGCATTGTCCCCGGAATGAGAAGTGAGCAAAAATAGCAACGCTGGGGGGCACTTGTTCTGGGGACAATTGTCTAAGAGGGGTATCCCCCCTTACTTTGAGAACTAACTTCCTGTTGAATTTCTGGGACAGGAAGTAAAAGTACATTTCTTCAATGGTACAAAAATGCAGATAGTGCCAAAACGGTCAAAAATTCAGTGCATCTCTATCGTCTCTCCTCCCTGCTGGGTGCCTGTCTGCGTCCCCTCTGATCCCCGCTGCTCTCCACCGCCTCCGTTGGCAGTGGAAATCTGAGGAGACACAGACTGGTGCCCAGCGGGGTTAGAATAAAGCTGTCAGGGTGCGGTTCGAGGATGAGGCAACTGTAACAGGAGGCCGAGCGGGGCGGGGTGTGACAAGCGAGTCAGGATAGAGGTCAGAGTACAAGCACTCAGCGATCAGATTTGATCACTAACAGGGTTATTCATAAAAGGGGGAAGAGTTTGGAGAAGGAAGGAGAAGTGAACAATCTAGGCCAAAATAGCTGATTTTGAAAAATCTTCCAATTCAGCTCACTTTCCAGTTCAGCTATGTTGTCCTAGATTGTTCACTTCTCCTGCCTTCTCCAAACTCTTCACCCTTTTATGAATAACCCTGTGAGTGTAGGTAAACGAGAATCGTGCAGTGTATGGAAGGCGTGCGACCGTTTCTGCTGTACGGTCGCGCGTCTTCCTGTCGAACCAGCATGCTAGAAAACCCGCCGGGAATCGCATGATTCTCGGCGAGTTAGTGGCCTGCTGGTTAGACAACTGCCGAACGGGCCGGTGTGCGCACACAGCCCGTTTGCAGTCATCGTAAGCCCACCCCTCATTAGTCATCGTAAGCCCGCCCCTCGGGGGCGGGCTTGCGATGATCGCAAGTACGATCTGCCTGTCCAAGATGTCCAAGGCGTTTTTTTAAGTTCTTTACAACCCTCGCAAGACAAAAGTCTTGCAAGGGTTGTAAAGTGTATGGGCACCTTTACTGAAGACACAGTATGCTTATTGTGTCCCCAGTTATGAATGAACTGGTGCTCTACATCACTTCCTTTTCATTCATGATTGTGGACATAGTAACTCATATTATAGCCACAGTTTATGAATGAACAGGAGAAGCTCAGTATAGAGGCTTCTTGTTCATTCATAACAGGGGCTGCAGAAAAAGAGATTTAGGACTCTATTTTAAAAGAGAAATATTAAGGGTCTGTTTAGACCCCTGATTTTTCCCCAAAGCACCCGACAGTAAAGAAAAAAAAATAGATAAATAAAAATAATTTAAAAATGTTAAAGGTTGGGAAAAAAC